TGCACACAGAACAGGAGGGCATTATAGACGACAAAGGGCCCCAGGGCCTCCTCTGGGAGTTTTTTTTTTTTTAGTTATTTACTTATTTATTTTTTAATTTTTTTTGAGACAGAGCCTCAAGCTGTCGCCCTGGGTAGAATGCCGTGGCATCACGGCTCACAGCAACCTCCAACTCCCGGGCTCAAGCTAGTCTCCTGCCTCCACCTCCCAAGTAGCTGGGACTATAGGTGCCTGCCACAACGCCTGGCTATTTTTTGGTTGCAGCCGTCATTGTTGTTTGGTGGGCCCAGGCTGGATTTGAACCCGCCACCTTAGGTGTATGTGGCTGGTGCCTTAGCCACTTGAGCCACAGGAGCTGAGCCTTTACTTATTTATTTTAGAGACAGAGTCTCAATTTCTTGCCCTGGGTAGAGTGCTCTGCTCTGGCGTCATAGCTCACAGCAACCTCAAATTCTGGGGCTCAAGTGATCCTGTTGCCTCAGCGTCCCAAGTAACTGAGACTACAGGAGCCCACCACAATGCCTGGCTATTATTTAGAGGTTGGGTCTCGCTCTTTCTCAGGCTGGTCTCAAACTCTTGAGCTCAAGCAATCCGTCTGCCTCGGCCTCCCAAACTGCTGATCACAGGCATAAGCCACCGAGTCTGGCCTTCTCCTTAACTTTTGGTTTGCTACCTGCCAATATATTCACACGTGTGCCTTCCTTTTACCCTTTCTCTTCAATTTTCAGAGCACCAGGTGTTTGCCTTTTGTCCGAGGCCAGCAACTCCTACACTCTTGATCCCGCCATTGAGTTCCTCTGGATCTTGCTACATTAGTTGCCTCCCACCCCCTTGCTCTGATTCCTCTCCGTGTGCTTTCTTTCCCATTGTTTCATCTTTTCCATTCTACAAAAACCTTCTCTTGACCCCTTACCCAAGTCCCCTCTACGACTCCTTCTCTCGACTCTGTTCTCAGCCAAGCTTCTGCAAAGAGAACTCCTCTTACTGTTTTCTCTTCCTCACCTGCTCACTCTGGCCCCTCCTACATCACTCCACTTAACGTCTTTCCAGAAGGGTCCTCAGTAACAGTAGAGAGGTGGTGGAAATGGCTGACCACCTTTACTTCTTATATATCTTGAAGCTACCTTTATCTAATGTGGTATTCTTTTTTAATTTGCAAAGTCACAGTAACCCCCTTTCTACTCACCTATAAATCCTTCAAAGCTGGTATCCTGGCTGGTACTTGAAATAAGACCCTGGTGCAAGACCAACATCTGTTGAGGAAGGTGGTAATTCTAAAATTAGTCTCAGATATAGTATCATTCCCTCTGCAGGAAAGATGACTTCTCCTACCTTCTCCTGACCCCTTTCTCAGTCTGCACCAGTGCACTCTGCTCTGTGGTTCTGTCCACCTATAGGTAAGTTTATGCCTATGTCAATCTTCTCTGGCCCTATGCTTTGTTTTATTAATTTCTAACTGTTTCCCTTAAAGCTGGTCCCTGCTTTTCAGAGAATCTCTCTGAATAATAGACAGGAGCTGCTTTTTGTTTTTCAGAGACCCTCTTCATTATCAGATCAATATAGCCCTAGATTGTATAAAATATCATTTTATTCCCTTGTAGACATACTTTGTAAATAACCCTAATCTTCTCTCCTGGATATAACCTCTCAAAAGCAGATGACTACATCTAGATTGCAGAAAGAAGAAATTCTACAGAGACCTTCCACAGAAGTACATTCAACCTTAATTAGAGTAAATACCAGCCAACCAAGTGTTGTGCATTTAAATCATGGTGATGAAAATTACCAGTTTAGTAGTACAGAGGAAAACAGGAAAGGTTTCCAGTGAGGGGAATGATTAACTGGATTCTTACAAAGAACTGAGAAAAAAAAGAAACCCAGAAAGCACAATACGTTGTATAAGTTTGTAAATTTAATCCTATAATCTCTGATTTATAATCTGTTCCCATAAATAAATCAGTTATTCTCACTGAGGAAAAAAATGTGTAAGCAATTGTTGAAATAGAGTTTTAAAAGACTAGGGTAAGCCTGCAATGACAAGATCAGAGAATAAGACTTTACATTGGAACAGAAGAGCTGATTGACTAGAATTCTGCATTTCTAAGGCAGAACATACAAGGGGAAGTGGCAAGTGTAGGCCTGAGTGAGCTGATCCCAGATTTGCATCCCGGCAGTGCCAGGAAACAGATTGTGACTCAGGTAAATGCCATAATCCCTCAGATCTGAGTCTCCTCAGCCTTGAGGTGAGGATCATTAACAGTGCTTCCCAAATATAAAATCATTGTGAGGATTCAATAAAGAAGACAGGAAAAGTGCTCACTGTGGGATAGGGCTAACTCTAAGAGCTGAATAAATGAGACTTATTGTTAAAACTCTTTCTCCTTTTCAATGTTTATTTCTGGAAAAAATGGGATAATCATTCAATTTCATTTCAATTTTATTTCCTCAGAAGAAATATGACAGCCCCTTTATAATACAGAAAAGAACTGCCATTACATTGAAATCCTCACACTAATATAATTTTTTTTTTTTTTT